TGTATTTCGGTTTGTTTGTCTGTTTGTTTTTTAAGTATCCCCATAAAGAATACAAAATAAACCATATAAAATAAGTTATTCTTGACTTTTTCCTAATAAGCTCGGGATCCAATGAGCAACTAGAATTTTTTTTTTTTTAGCCCGAACATAGCAGTGCACCCTGTAAACCCAGCACCACTATCCGGAAGCTAAACAGGGGATCTTCAGCCTCGACTACACAGTGTCACCCCGTATTAAAACATCAAATCACGGCTAGAGAGATAGGTCAACAGTTCAGAGTGCTTATTGCTCAGAAGTTCAGTTCTCAGTACCCATGTCAGGCAGCTCACAACTGCCTGTAACTCCAGCTTCAAAAGATCCAAGATCCTCTTCTGATCTCTGTAGGAATTTAACATGTGTGCACACACATACAAATCAATCTAAAAAACCCAAACAAGAAAAAGTGTTTTGCACTGGGGAGACAGCTTAGTGGTTAAAGCACCTACAAGCCACTGGTGAGTTCCTGAGTGGAAATCTCCAGAACCCATGGAAAGCCAGGCACAACAGCTCATCCGTAATCTCAGTGCTCCTACAACTGAGATAGGAAGCACAGACAAAACAATTCCTAATGGTTCATGGGCCAGTTAGTTTGGTGCATATAGCAGCAAAAACCTTGTCCCAAACAAAGCTGAAAAACAAGGACTGACTGGTGAGGCTGTCCTTTGACCTCTATACACATGCCATGCCACAAGTGTGCCCACACTCACACAGATAAACACACATACCACATAAAATATAATAAACTTCAAAGACATTTCTTAAAAAAGATTTTTAGTACCCACTGAAAGATACTCTCTAAAAGTAAAACAAACAAGTATACAAGAAACAACACAAATAACCAACTATGCAGCTAAAGAGATACAATTGAATAAAGGTAGGAAGGAGGTAAAGGCACCCAACATAACTGAGCACTCACACTACAAAAATGCTCATTCACCTAACAAATTGAACATGTCTACAACACTTCCTGTCTATTAAGCCCTGTGCTAAATAAATACTTTATCTAAGTACCATGTGTCACATTTAATGCTCCTATCCAATTCTGAGACAGTTACTATTATCGTATTCCTTTTACGGAAAAGAAAATAAAGGTTTAGATTGAGAGGCTGGGGAGATGACTGAGTAGTTAAAATGCTCACACATAAGCATGAGGACAAAGTGCAGACAGCAGAACCCCCGTAAAGGCCAAATGGGAGTGGGAACCTGTCTGTAATCCCAGCTTCAGAGGGCAGAGACAAGAGGATCCCCAGAGTGAGCGGGCTAGCAAGACTAACTACACTGGAAAGCTCTAGGTTTGATAATCCTGTCTCAATGAACAAGGTGGAAATTGATGATGATTACTGCCATCAACCTTCTGCATGTGTATGTGTATGTGTGTGTGTGTGTGTGTGTGTGTGTGTGTGTGTGTGTGTGTGTGTGTGTGTGTATGCATATGTACACTCAAGTCCTTAGGCTTGGCAGCAAACACTTTTATCCATTGAGTCATCCTCAAGGCCCAACATACATTTTTGTTTGTTTTGTTATTCAAGACAGGGCTGCTCTGTGTAGCCTTGGCTGTCCTAGAATTCACTTTGTAGACCAGGCTGGCTTTGAACTTGTGAATCTGCCTGCCTCTGCCTCCCAGAGTACTGAGATTAAAGGTATGTACCGCCAGGCAGTAGTTTGAGGCCAGTCTGGTCTACAAAGCGAGATCTAGGACAGGCACCAAAACTACACAGAGAAACGGGGGTGGGGGGGTGGGGGGTGGGGGCCGGCCGGTGCCACTGGCCAGCTTCAGCACACAACTTCTTAAACTATGGGTTGATAGGTGATACAATGCAAAGTGGACATTGTGAAAAATCTAAACAGGTTTCTGAATATACAACAGTCAATTGTCAATTCAAAATCAAACACATGAACAAATCCAAAATGTTTCTAGCAATGCTCAACTGTTCTGTATTGCTTGACTTCACTCCAGCTGTGGTTATGAACATATGATATGAACACTTTACACTATGGGTGCTCCCAAGCTATACAATACCAACTGCCTCAACCACCTTGGCTCAGCTTTGAGGCCATTGTAGGTCATTAACTACACATTTTTTTTGTTTTGTTTTTAGAGACAGCATTTCTCTGTGTAACAGCTCTGGCTGACCTCAAACTCAGAGATCTGGCTGCCTCTGCCTCCCAAGTGCTAGTATTAAAGGCTTACACCACCACTGCCCAGCTCAACTACACTGCTTTTACTGTGCATTCAAAGTTTTCTGCCCTTATGAAAGCATTCAGTTTTACAAACAAAATAGTTTTAATATTTCCCTATCTTTTTTTTGTTATTATCAAAATAGCTTGTGTTTTGGATGATGTATGCCTGTAATCCCAGCACCTGAGAAGTGGAGATAAGGACTATGAGTTTGAGGCCAGCCTGGTCTACAGAGCAAGATCCAGGACAGGCATCAAAAACTAAACAGAGAAACCCTGTCTCAAAAAAACCAAAACAAACAAACAAAACAAAATAACAAAAAACAGAAGGAGGCAGGCATGGCAGCACACATCTTTGAGTACTTGTGAGGCAGAGGCAAAAGGATCTCTATGACTTTGAGGATACCCTGGTCTACACAGGAAGTTCCAGGCTAGCCAGGGCCAAGTGAGATCTCAAAAAGAAAAAAAAAAAAAAAAACAAAACAGAAAGACAACCAAAAAGTCTAGGGATGTACCTCACTTGGTAGAGTACTTCTCTAGTGTACACAAAGCTCTGAGTTTGGTCTAGAGTACACACAAAACTGAGCAGGGTAATATACGCTTATAATCCCAGCACTACAGAGGAGGCGGTAAGACCAGAAATTCAAAGTCATCCTTGGCACATGAAGCTTTATATAGTGTGTGCATGTAATATATGATGTTCAAATATTTGATGTGAAAGACTGCTGACAGGCTGATGAGAGGGCTCAGCGGGTAAAATGACTTGCCACAAGCCTGATGACCTAAGTCAATCCTTGGATCCTGTGGTATAAGGAGAGAACCAACTCCTGAAAGTTATTTGTCTCTCTCCCTCCTTCTCCCTCTTTCCCTACCTCTCTCTCCCTCTCTCTCTCACACACACACACCCCCCTAATTAATTAAATTAATTATTTTAATATTAATTAAAATATTAAATGGCCCTAAACACACCTGCCATTTTGTACTCTGTATTTATGGGAAGCAGTATTCTCAATACTGATGGTGATAAAATCAAATATCAACTCTGAAAAATGTTGAAGATGGTCTGTATCCTGCAGTATCAAACACTCAGCCATGATTTCTTTTGGTTTCTGAGACAGAGTCTCATGTAATCCAAGCTGGCCTAGCATTTGTTATGTAGCCAAGGACTACCCTCAAAAGCCTCTAACTTCCAAGTGCTGAGAATACAGGCATGGAACACCATCCCTGGCAATACTGGATTATAAGCACATCTACCTCATTAATATGCATATTACCTTTATCTTAAATAAATGGTAAAAATTATACACAGACCAAAGAATTGTGTTTTGAGTTAAAGTCTTGCTATGTAGCCCTGGGTGGTCTAGAACTCAATATGTAGACCAGGCTAGTACTGAACACCTAGGGAATTCTCCTACCTCAGCCTCCTGAGTGCCTGGATTACAAACATGAACCACCATACCAAGCTCCAAAATAACTGTAAGCGTCTTTATTACTTATAAGCAAGTGTTTGATTTTTATGCAATCAAAATCTCATAAGAATTTTCCAGGCAAATTTGTATATACTCAAGGTCTCGTAAAATTTTCCCAAGCCAATAAAAAGGGGTCAAGAGCAGCAGTTTAAAAAGTCCTACCTGGATACTGTAGTCATCAACCCACATTTACTGAGCGCCTACTATTTCCCTGGCTCTGTGCAGGGAAAAACTACTGGTTGTGTTCAAGCCTGCAATCTCAACACTATGGAGACTACGGCAAAAGGTAACAAAAACTCAAGACAGCCTGCGCCTGATATGGTGGTGCATATCTTTAATCCCAGCAAGGGAGGTAAAGGCAGGAGGATCTCTGTGAGTTCAAGGCCAACCTGGTCTACATAGTTGAGTTTCAGGTCAGCCAGGACTACATACATAGTAAGACCCTGTCTGAAAAATCCAAAACAACAGTAACAAAAGCCCAGCCTGGGATATACAGCAATTCCAGGCCAGCCTGGACTACATAGCAGGACCAAAAACCAGAAAGAAAAGAGAGGGCAGAGGGCAAAGGGCTTATTTAACGCTCGGTATTTCAACAGCAACAAAGAACCCAAAACAGCCACGGGCCGACCTTCCTGATTTACTAAAGTCAAGTGCTTGAATGCTCTGTGAGACAAACTCCAAGACACCGAATGTTCGGCTCATCCCAAGCCTCAGACCCGGTTCCTCAACTTCCACACCACTGACCTCGGCTTCAGCTAACTCGGGGGGGGTGGGGGGGGGGCTGCCCTACGAACAGGAGTCCCGTGGCATCTCCCGCTTCTTCCCGGCGCGGGGTCTCGCCCCGGCGCCCTCCGCCCCTCGGCGTCCCGCTCCCAGACGCCGCCACCCCAGCGCCTTCCGTTCCCGGCCCCGTGGGAAAGGTCTCCACTCGCCTCACGTCTACATCCTGCCCCGGGTCTTCCCCGCGGGCCGTGGGCTCTACGAGGGCGGGGGGGGGGGGGGCGTCCGGCACACAGTGTGGCTACTGCTGTGGAGTTAATGACACGGGGAAAGCGAGGCGCCGAGGGGAGGCGACTGGGACGCAGGGGGCGTGGGGGGGGGGGTCGTTATCCAGGAAACCCGGCCGGTGCTGAGAAGAGCCTGGGCCGGAATTACGGCTCGGCCCACCTGCGCATGCGCCTCGCTCTCCCGGCATCCCCCCCCCCCCCCACACACACACACGAAGGTAGGTCTCGAGTTTCCCCGGTTTTCCCGGGGCTACGGAGTGAGGCACAGGGACTGCCGCCCCGGCGGGAGCCCCCAAGGAGAACTTACACGGGCCTGAGAGCGGGCGGCGAGACCCCTCACCCTGAGGTACTGACGGCGGCCACCACGTCTGCACGAGCAGCGAATCCGCTCCTCAGGTCGCCTAACGGCCGTTACACGCCCTTCGGCCCGCACGCCGCCCGAGCGCGCGCTGCCCAGCGCCGCCCCCGCCTGCCGGCCGCTGACCAATAGAAAGTCGAGGCGCGTGGCTGTCCCGCCTCTCCCCCCCCCCCCGCCTACCTTCGACCAATAGGGACTCGGGCCGCTCTGGTGTCCCGCCCCCCTGCACGGTGCCCTCGGTTGTGGGCGGGTGGATCACTGCGTAGGAGGCGCTGGACGGGTGGACCGCTCTGCGCATGACCCAGCGGCTACTTCGCTCCGACTCCTCGCTCCTTACCCGGTCCTGCCTCAAGGTGGCGCTGTGTCAGCGAGGCTTAGCGGGGCTGCAGGGCTTTGGCAGGGGCGGAGACTAGAGGCCAGGCCTTAGCGAATCCCTCCCAACCTACCTCACCCCCCTCCCTCCAGAAGGAGGAGGTCAGAAGGTGCCAGTGACCTACCTGGGTCACTGCCTATGAATAGTTAATGGCTATTAACTATTAGCCGGCTCAGCGGCTAAGAGTGATTGCCGCTCTTTCAGGGGTCACAAGTTCGGTTCCCAGCTCACAACTCTCTCTCTCTCTCTTCTGGCCTCCACCAGCGGACACACGCACACGCTGCATTCACACATAGACACACACACACACACGTAAATAATAAAATTTAAAAACATATAAGAATAACAAATTGATGGATGTGGAACCTGGGAGTGACTGATGAATTTAGAGAAATTTCTCTGAAATTAGGAACATATTACCATGAATGTTAAGCCTGGATGTCTAAAAATAAAACTTTGTGAACTAATGAGCAGAAAGTTGAGTTTTCCCAGTTGGTGGCTTCTGTTTCTTTTGTGGGGAAGGAGGAAACAAGGACAAGAGTTGGACCAAGGAGAAGAGCTGGTCCTGAAAAGAAATGACTTGAAACGGTGGACATGTTGGAATTTAAATCTACAAACGGCGTACATTTATGAGCTGGGGTGATGCAGTAGCCTGTAATCACAATTCAGAAGGCTGATGCAGGAGGATCAGGAGTTTGATGGTAGCCTGGGCTACACAGTAAGACCCTGTCTCAAAAAAAGAAAGTGTGTTTGTACAGCCCTTCTCTTCAACAAGGTCTTGTGTGGTGGTATTTTGTTTGTGCTCTAAGAGGGTAGAGCTAGCCATTAGTTAACCATAGAGGTCTGGAGGTCTGTATAGACAGGAGACAGAAAGTGACATGGCCAGGCAGAGAGAGGAATACAAGGTGGGCAGAAACAGGAGCTCGGCCCCTTTTTTGGTCTGAGGAGTTGTGGAGGTAAGAGGTGACTTTGGCTGCTCCTTCTCTGGTCTTTCAGTATTTACCCCGATATCTGACTCTGGGTTTTTATTATTGACCAATTAGAATTCCCGCTACAGTCTTGCTATTTGGCACAGGCTGACCTCAGACTCCTGATGCTGCTGACTTTGGCCTCCTGAATGGGTTCTTGTACTTTTTTTTTTAACTTTAAGGTTTATTTTTATTATTTGTGGGGGGGGGGGGGTGCGCCGCATGCGTGCACCTGTACCCTCAGAGGTCAGAAGGCACTGGATCCCTTGAAGCTGGACTTACAGGCATTTGTGAGCCATCTGATATGGGTGCTGGGGTCTGAACAGTCATCTGACAGAACTCAATTGTTCTTGACTTCCCCTTGTTTTGTTTTTGACTGGGTTTCATATAGTCCAGGTTAGCGTGGAGCTGGCTTTACAGCCAAGGTCAGCTTTGAACTAATCCTTCTGCATTTATTTCCCAAGTGCTAAGATTTCAGGTGTGAACAAATATACCTCAGTTTCCCTCTATAGTTTAAAAATAACTCCATCATGTGATAACTTTCATGTGAAAATTAGTCCTCATATTTCAATAGTCTTTAGGCTCTCATTTCAGAGAATATTCATCGTTTTAAGTATGCATAAATCTTCAGTTACTTTATTATTATTTGTTTGTTGACACAGGATTTCATGTAAACCAAGCTAGCCTCATGCTCACTTTTTAATTCAGGGAAACCTTGAACTCCTGGTTGTCCTGTCCTACTTCCAAATGCTATGGTTGCTTCATTAGTTTTAAAAGACTTGTTGCATATTTAATAAAATATATTAATGGAAGTATACCAACTAGTATGATTAAAAGTAAAAAGACTAGATTTGGGACTGGAGAGATGGCTCAGTGGTAAAGAGCACTTGCTGCTCTTACAGAGGATTGGGATTTGGTTCCTAACACCTACACTATAGCTCCCAACTGATTATAACTCCAGTTCCAGGGGATCCAGCTCCCTCCTTTGGCCTCTGCAGGCACCTGTAGTGATATGTAAGTAAAGCCTTTATGTCTGGCTTTAAGTGAAATGTATAGTAAAGCCTTTGTGTCTGTCTTAGAGAGAAATGTTTCAGTAAAGCCTTTGCTATGTTTTGATTGCTGATAACCTAGAGATATGTCAGAATAACAGCAGGTGGCAACTAATATTTAAGGTGTCAGCCCTCCAGAAGTTCAACTCTCTGATGGGATTGTCTCCCTGGAGATTGAAGTTTCTCGATCTGACCCAGTCCCACCTGGACAGCAGCCGTTTTTATAAAATAATCACTCAGGCTTAATATTAATTACAAACTGGTCTATGGCTCAGGCTTCTTGATAGCTAGCTCTTTCATCTTAAATTAACCCACTTCTATTAATCTATGTATGGCCCCGTGGCCGTGGTCTTACCAGTCTGCTGGTATGTTGCTCCTTGGGCAGTGGGCTGGTGTCTGCCCTAACCTTTTTCTGCCGCACCATTGGCCAAATAGCTTTATTTATTAACCAACAGTAGCAACACATATTCAGAGCATACAGAAAGGCCATCCCACATCACTTCCCCTTTTCTGTCTAATCAAAAAGGAAAGTTTTCATTTAAATATAGAAAATTACATATAATAAAAGAGTTATCAGGCTGGAGAGATGGCTCATTGGTTTAGAGCACTGACTGCTCTTCCAGAGGACCTGGATTCAATCCCCAGCACCCACATGACAGCTCACAACTGTCTGTAACTCCAGTTCCAGGGGACCCGACACCCATGTGCAGGCAAAACACCAATGTACATAAAACAAAAATAAATAAATAATAATTTAAAAAAAGAGTTATCAAGCAAGAATTATAATGACAATATCTAGTTTATTTGTATTTAGCAAAATTAAAGAAAATATTCTATCATCTATCCTATATTTGTGAGACTAAAGTTTCATATCTAATTTACCTTTTATTACAACCAAGGAAAACTATAATTATAACTATCTAGTCTTCAACTCCATCAAAGACCCCAGAAAGATATAATATTACATAAGTAAATAGGAAGTGAATTGTAAGCAGCTTCCAAAATTCTAGAAATGACAGAGACATCTGGCTACCTGGACAGCCACCCAAAGTTCCTCTGTAACATTGGGGCATCTATCTTCACCCTACAGACCTAGAGTCTCTGGTATACTTTTCAGTGAAGCAAGAAATTTGAAGGATTGTCTTGCCTATTGACAAAGTTCATCAGTTGCTTTTCTCTGTGTCCTGAAGGATGTCTGGCAGTTTCTTCTTTGAAGCAGGAGGCTGAAGGACCATCTCACCCTGTTTTGGCAAAGTTCAGTGGTCATTTTCCCATGGGTCCTGCATGTCCAATTTATATAACATATTGGAGCACAAATCTTAGGTCTTATTAATAAAAACAAACCTGGAGCTAGGTATTGGGGTGACTGTTGAAAGATCAGAGAAGCAGAACAAGCCACAGCTATCTCACCTTGCCAATTCCTCAGCTGATCCTGTTTCCTCAGACTGGATGCCTCTCAGCTGAACTGTGCAGCTCAAAAGCCTAAAAGCTTAATCAGCTCTAGTTCCTGGTTTTCATGCCTTATATACCTTTCTGCCACCACTTCCTGGGATTAAAGGCGTGAGTCATCATGCCTGGCTGTTACCAGTGTGGTTTTGAACTCACAGCAATCTGGATGGATCTCTGCCTTCGGAATGCTAGGATTAAAGGCATGTGTGCCACCATTTTCTGGCCTCTGTATCTAGTGGCTGTTCTGTTCTCTGACTCCAGATAAGTTTATTAGGGTACACAATATTTTGGGGAACACAATATCACCACAAGCAGTCCAGGCGAGAGCAGTTTCTTGCCCAAATGGTTAGCCTTTTCCATATTGTAAGCAAACTCTATAATGAGTTTCTTCAATGCCCATCATCTTCTTTGAAGTAATTGGTGCTGCCAAGAGCAGACGTGTCTCATTGTCCAGAAAAGTCTAAGTTCTTAAAATATTTTAAATGCCATATTCTGTATGTCTTTGAAATGTTTGGAGATTACCTACCTAATTACAATATATCTTTGTATATCTAGAAAACTAACATGACTGTAAGTTTTATTATCATAGATGATGAACTGTTAATCTGTATTTCTTAATGATATATTACAATTTTAAATGAGTTGCATAAACATAACACCTTAAACAAGAGTAGAAATATACATACAATATAACAAAATTGACCTTAAATTTGTATCAATAAATCAAATGCATATCAATGTAAAGTATTTTGAGATTAACACTTGTTTTTTGGATCAAAGTAGATTCAATAATCTATCTTTTTTTATCATTTCGATATCATATCCCCCTTTTGTCTTTAGAAAGAGATTGCATTTATAATCAACATCCTTTAAATAAAAACAAACATTCATAAACAATATTTTGGGAATTTGGGTATAGCTTTTCATACTACTTCCTGCTGATTGGGGGCACTGGCAATATTATGGGGATCCTGAGAAATTTTAGAATTATGGTTAAATCTTGGCTGTAGCACTCTGTGAGGCTGCATCATCTTAGCCAGTTGCCTTGAAGATGTTCTGGATGTTAGATCATCTGAGCCATCATTCCCATTGGGGACATCTCAGGGGGTCTTCCTTGATGGAACCCTATTAATCTGGAAGGAATCCACAACTTCTCATCTTCTGTGGAAACAACAGCAGAACCTCTTTTCCAAAGCAACATATCCTTAGACACAAATTTTGAAGTCAAGATACCTTTAAGATATATATGTTAGTTTAACTTAGCAGCCTTTA